AGTGATTCCGCGACAAGTGACTAGCTTCACCAGTTCAACTTGTATAAAGTGAAAAGCAATTTGCCAACTTCCTTCAACTACTGACAACTTTTCGGAGGCGCTAATAAGGTTCGTAAATTCATACGCTTCTCTCACTGCGTCAGGACAACTGGCATTATTTATGAGCTTTCATTTCTATCCGTGTGTTTCAGTGTTGCATTGACTCCAATTTAAATGCAATAATTTTGGTTAACTAGATCAGTTCTGTCTGTTTTTTATTGTCACCGTATCTTTCAGCGACAACATAAATGAGAAAATAAAAAAAATCGTGTTCTCTTTGAACTTCTTTTCGATAGTAATTGTTTTTATTTTCCTTTCGACAATCAGAGATCTGCCGGTCCGGTTGGCCGAGATCGCTAAGGCAGTAGTGCCGTAGTGATCTCAGACCGAAGGACCGCGGTTTAGTCCCGCCCCGGGCATGGTTGTATTGTGTTCGTCTTTTCACCCCCTATCAGCATCATATCGTGTTACCCGCACAGTTACCATACCGTTACAAGCAATAGTGGTCGCTAATGAACTAGTAGTTGATCCGACCTTAAATAACAAAAAAAAATCATAGATATCTTTTCCAAAGTGACGTGTCTCTATTTCCGACAAATTTCTAGATTTAGGTATCAATATACTTTTTAGACTCCTCTCCATCATGCTGCAACATTTTATGTTAAATCATTACGTCTCTTCTATATTAAATGGTATCTGAAAACCGTTGAACATTATCAACTACCGGCTGAGTTAGTTCAGAGTCAGCACTACCGCAGTCTCTGCGGCGACTCTGATCGGGAGATCGTAGTGTCCGTATTACGGCAGTGGGGGAAGTTGTGATGCTTGCTATATAAATCGCTGTTCAGCCGCTGTCTAGAAGAGAATTCTAGTAGCTATACGTGTTCGAAGGTTTCTCCGATCGATGTCAATATCTGGCGAATGCCGTATATGTATCAAACGGGCCACGGACCGCGTGTGACGTTTGACGTTTGTGATTTTCCACATGTGTACGATGGTTATTAATGCCCTAAATGACAAAAAATGTAATCCATTAAAACATGCAATATGTATTTTTGAAATTGGTTTGATAAATGTCTTATTAATGCAATGTATTGATGCAATGCCTCCTCTCCTCTTACACGTACCCGCACTACACTAACACACGTCAGTCGAGAGCTTAGGGCTTATCCCGGCTGTGGTGGTGCCCTGCTGGAGGAGATAACTGGAGAGGGAAAACCCCCTTCGTTCGGCGCCGGATTTCTCCATCGAGCGAGGAAGGAGCACTGCAACCTCCCGGTAATACATTCACTTCACTATCGCCTCTAATGACCATAGCAGTTGAAATGCCCGGAAACAATCTATCAGTTTACATTAAATTGTAAGACAGTCAAAAGTAAGTACTGTTCCTTTTTGAAGAAATGTTACATGGAGATACATCACTTAGGAAAGAAGCTTTTCAATATCCATCATATATTCCTCACGGCAATTTTTGCCTTCCTTGACTTAATATACATATATGATATATCCGTTGAAAGCGAGATCTTTAGAGATAACTGTGGTGAGAGAGTTGGGAATGGACGAGGGCAGCGATATTGTGGAGCCACGTATTTGAATCTCTCGCGCAACCAAGCTCGCCACCCCGGCTGCTGATCGTAGGAAAGTCTATGCCCCGCCGCTCCGCGGTGTTGCGTTTCTAAGCGCTGTACCTTTACGGAGAACTGGTGGCGGCGCGCGCAAAGGTCATTTCAGAACCGGATTACGGATTGTCTTTTTCGCAACGCCATCAAGGGGAGCTGCTTCAAAAGTAGATGAAGATTATGCTCTCTTTGTCTTCTGCTTGATTCTTTATTTTTTATCTTCCTCTTAAACTCTTTTTATTCTCTGAACCTTCTCTTTCTGTTTTTTTGTTACTGCCTGCGCCTCGCCCTCTTCCTTGTGCTTTTAGGCCGCAAATGGTCGAGACCTTCGTCAAAATACTGGCAGCACTCCCTGGGATGTGCCCACGATGCAGAAAATGATATATTTAGATAATGCTTATATTTGTTTTTTTTAAAAGAAACTCGCTTGGATTTTTTAGTGCAATTATAGATAACTCAAACATAACTATACACATAGGGCAGACCTATTGTACAGATGCTTGTGATATATTACTTTCATGCTACGTAGACCATTCTAACGCAATTACGAAATGTTCTAATTTTCTTTCAATTCGAAATATTTCCATTTGTTTCCTACGCTTGTTAGTAGGCCTTTTAAATAAAATAATGACTGTTTGATTAAAACAAGCAGAAATCGCATAGGAATAGGAACATTGAAACTAATAGGAATAGCAATAAATTCAATCTGATATTGATTGAATAGTACTCATTAAAACAATGGTTTTAATATTAAATAGAAAATTAACAGGGCAGTAACTACTGTGCTTTTGTTGTCATGATATTGGATTATTTGAGAGAAACATTTCATATCTAAGCAACTATTTAGGAGGATACAATGGGATTTTTTGTTAATTGAAGAGCTACTCTGAACACAAAAGTCACCAAAATCGATTGCTATTTGTGAAGGTTTTTTGAATTCATTTCATTGTCCATTTATAAGTGAATAAACACGAGTGAGAGCCAGAAAATAATTGTAAACTGATGTATTCTTTTGTCAAATATTAAAAAATTACTGTTGCAAGCAGAGAGAAAAACGGGAACTACTTAAGCGCAAAGGTCCCAAACAGGTCACTGAAGTAGTAAATTAAATCGCTGTACCGAATCAAGTAACAGCTCCATTGGTGTTTGCACGAGTTTGTAAAAGGCTCTGTGGTTTGCTATGGATATGCCCGTGACGTTATGTTGCACTTAGTATATCCGGGTATGTCCTATCGGTTTTTCACAGCGCTCTGTTACACCAATTTGATCAGCCTGGGCGTGATGCCCTACGCTGACTCGAACACAACTAATAAATCCACACCTTCTTATGCCAGTATGAACCATTCCTGATTTCTCGATAGTCCTCCATCCGCATCTCAGGTGTAGCGGCAGATACAGGTCGTAAAGCCTTCGAAGAATTCGTTTTCGAGTCTTCATGTTTTGCCCATTGTTCTGGTTATGGGATCTTCCCATCTGATTGGCGGTCTCGCAGCTTTTCTTTTCGTTGTTCGTCGGCATTAGACTGTAATTCTTCCTCGCCCCATTATCTCCCATTCTAGCGATTCAGCATGCCTGTCTTTAATTTCGTAAATCGTTGCCTCTAAGTACTCAATACAATCTTCCGTTTAATTTTGATTTGTCCTTTGCATTGTTCCCCAACGATATTCAAGATCCTCTTTGGTGGTCTGAATAATGGTTCACTCTTTTACGATGTTATTTGAAGTTCTAGATTCATAAAGAAATGATTACGGACCCTGTAATATTAATAATTAAAGAAAAGAGTTAATTTTCTTCTTAAGTTGTGCAATTTCGTTCAGAATGTCAACAACTGCGTTGTTGCTTGCTTTTGTTTGCATACCATTCCTTTATATTAGAAGGAATTGTTCTTTCGCTTAATACTGAACCCAAGTGATCTGTAATCAACGGAGCACTTACATTTAGATTTATTTAGTAAAAACAACACTCTAAAAACTGTATGTGTAGTATGGGGGAGAAGATTAAAGCGAAAATTAGTATTGTGATAATAAGTACTTCAAAAATGTATGCATTAAAATTATAGTATGTTTCTCAACTAATAAAACATGCAAATCAAAAAGTCCAAACGCATGGATCGTTAGCCTGTAGGTCTCTTCTTACGCTCCTTTCCCATTTTCATCGTTCAGAATGGAGACAGTATCCATATGTTGACAGCGACATACAGACTCTTTAAATTCACTAATAATATATTAACTTTCTGGGAGAAAGGAAGTATAATAACGTTCCAAAGTTACATCATTACAGATGGGCTATATTTATTATATATACATGGTGCGTTCATAGCATCATGAGATCTCTGACTCTCAATTCTAATCTTTGCCAGTTAAATGCACATGCATATAACATACCTTAAACGCGTGTACGATGCGCTTACTAACCATACATTTTTAAAAACAATTTGTTCAAGTATGACGTTCCTCATTTTAAAGAACTAAACAATTATTTGCAAGAGATCTAGAAGCAAGAGAGATACGTTTACACATAACATACGTATAATGTTCACAATCATTTTAAGTAATATTAATGTTTATAACATTTAGCTTTCAAACATTTCCTCGTGATTCCTAAGCAGAGATTGTTTGATTGTTGAGAGATTGATGTAATTTATTTTTGGAAAAATATCCCAATAAAAATTGGAGGAATATCATCGGAAAAAATTCAAATCACCAAAATATTGTTCCTTCTGACTAAAATAATGCTTGTGAGAGGAATCATCCGCGCATTAGGGATTCCTGTTCTGCCTGAATAAAAATTTGTTATTGAATCGTGTGATTGAAAAATTTAGAAAAACAATCTCCACAAACAGAGTTGATACAAAATATGATAATTTATAATATTAGAATCATATATTTATTGTGTTACTTTAGAATTTATAATTATAGTAGTGTGAATTTTATATTATTACATTGTTTCTCTTGCGCTGATAAGTTCTCTACGAGTTTTTGGAGAACCAAAGTCAAATTTTTATTTATCATCCATATTTTGTACATATTTTACACATTTTGCAAACCTTTTTTTAATACACCAATTTTACTGAAATTTATTTCCAAAAATTTTGAATTGTCAAAAGTAGTTTCTATTTTAACGTGTCAGTGATTTCAGGTTTCTTGCTTTTAAACTCAATTAACGAGAGGTATTTGTTGCCGAGAGACATTGTAAAACTAGGAAGACAATGCTACAGTGATTGTTTGCTGATCATTGAGTTCCGCGTTTTTACGACACCTATTATTGCTTGAAGAAGAAAATTGTACTCTTAAAAAATCAATCCAGACCTACAAGCAATATTTATTTTTAAATTTGTTTAAGAAATATTTTATTAATATAATTTCAAATTGTGTATTTATTTTGTTTGTAAATATTCTATAAATTAAAAAGTATTTGATGTTGCATGTTACATTTCTTTTTGCATGTTTGTTACATTTTCTTAACATTTTAATTAAATATTTATGTACCCTTTTTTTGTCATGTCATTCTACATATTTTTCCAGAATCTACATATCATCATAGCGTATTTATAACATTTTCGAAAACAAATAGGTGACAAAATTTTTTATACATTGCTATTACTAAATTCAAATCCGCGCAGAAATTAAAAGTAAACTATTCACTCAATGACTTTCGAGAAAAGCTAATGATTTCATTATACCGTATTCCTAGAACTTGGAAAAAGTCCCCACACAATGAAATACTAGTTTCAATTTTGAATGAGAAGTAAAAATATTTCATTGTGTTAATCCACATATTTTCATAATGTGCAAACCGACTGAATTTTCACACTCAATGTGTCACTGCTTACGACACAGCTGACATGCGACAGAAATGCTCACCATCAAATATTTTTTTGTGTGTTTCGTTGTGGAACAGCAAAATTTTTTATATTATTTGAATGTAAAGAACTGTTGTCTTGACGAATGTAATGAACTACAAGAACACACAGTATATTATTGTAGTATTTTTGAAGACGTATTCGTTCATTAGAGTGTTATAAATGAATATTTTATTTGTTGCTCTTGAACTTTTTGTGGTATATTCGCTAAAGTATTTCCTTGAGCCAATATCTTCACCACTAATTCTGCAGTCATAATACGGTAGCGAAATCTGCGCTATCAGCCTATATACACGAATTTTATTACGATTAATAACCATTTATTCCTCATGCTAAATATGCCACGCTTGTTAAAATGAGAAAGGTAGATAAAATGCTGTGCGCTTTTCTTACAAATGTCCCAGTATCTATTTCTGTGTGACGATGACAAAGCCTGTACTAAGGTTAAGAAGAGCAGTATATACGATGAAGGGATGTCTTTATGCTAACCACAGGAACCCCTTAGCACATGGCCGAGAGGCTGGGCCACCGCTCGTCGACCATAGCCCGTATCGGGCTGTCGAGCCAAGAACAGGACAGAACAGGTCAGATAAAATTCGTCATGCACGTCATCTGAGCACGCTATCTTATCTTCATTCTCTCTACCTGAAAAATCAGTACACAATTATTGTTAAGATCTTCAAAAGCAGGAGCGGTATTATTTGTACATATCATATAAAAACGTGTGGGAATGGCTTTGCCGATAATACAAACATGGTCGTACCGTAGGAAACAGGTAATTAGATCCATTTGTCATAGGAATCAAATTCATCATCATTTGCGTGTAAGGTGCCATTGTCATGAAAGCTGCCGATAAATCAGACTTACTTTGAATAAGCAAAGGTAAATGTAAGAGTTTTTCTTGAAACTTATTTGCCTGTATAGTTCGACAATTTAAATTTTCCAACGAATTTTCTATCGAACATGATAAAATGTGATTGAACCGAGCGTAGACCTGAGCAGCCTAAATCAAGGGGGAGGGAAAAACGAAATCATACCTGGTACAATGAATGCAATTGATTTTATGATGAACCATGTACAGGGTTGCCAGATAATATGGCGGTGAACTTCCGCAAATCACGCATAACAATTCAAGTTTTATTGTTAACCTTTCGACCGTATTTGAGTCTTTTCTGACCCCAGATGAAAATAATGTTTTATAACACACTGAGAATTATTCACCTGAACTTCTCCTTTTAGATACGCTATTTAGGTTCAGTTTTCATGTGTTGCAAACTTTTCAGTTTTTTAAGTTTTCTTGTTTTGAACAATTTGATTTTAGAGAGTTGAGGTTAGAAATGTTACCAAACCGAATCCATGTTACACGTCTTCATTATAAAAACATGTCTATTTCGTTTTATAATATTGTGTTATTTCTGAATGATAATCTATCGAATTTGTGCATGACGAGTTAATAGCACAGTACCAGACAGTCTCATGGTGGTATGGGGGTCACCTATAAATAGTTTTGAGGATATGCTAGAATGTTTTTCTAGAAATATAATTCTTTGTTTTTGGCAATTAAAGCAAATAAAGTGCATATTTTTTAAATTTATGATTACCATATAGCATGCGTTCATGAAATAAAAGTAAACTGACCAAACATAGTCCACGTAAGAAATGGAGCAACTGAGTCAAAGAATTAAAAGGAAGAGGGTGAATCAGGTATTGAACATTTTTACTGAAATCAAGTAAATTATTACGAGGTACGGGCCACTTTCAAAATTTTTAATAGGGCCACGATCCCTCTGCTCCCTTCGATACTCATACTTCTGGAATCAAAAAATGGAATGATATTCATCAGGAAAAAAAATATTAATTAGTAACATGCTTTAATGTCGCTACTCTTGAACTTGATGCTTTAAAGTGTGCTACTTAAATATCGGACGTTTGTCAGTTGAATCATTACCACATTATTTTAATCTTTACAGAATTATTTGGAAACTACATAAGAGATTGTTTTGTTTGCCAGACGTTTCATCATTGTTCAGAAATAAACTGCAGGAATTAATTTACATTGCACGGTATTTCTCTTCCTACTTAGGATCGCAACCTCTTAAACGAAACAGCTGTGGAATATTTGAGGTCGTTGATGCATCGTAGGACAGTGACCCCTCACCATTAAACATAGTGTCAACGTTGACTCCGTGGAAAAGCGTTGATGTTTCATGCACTGATTCTTTTATTCGTTTTGCATATGCTCGTACGCTCTTGGCTATACTACCTTCGAATGCTTTAGTTCATCCGTGAAAAATGCCAGACGTACTTTATCCCATTTGCTTTTACCAACGACTTGTGCATGCCTGGCTGAGTCCAACGCCTTTAGTCACGGTTGTGGGAGAAAGCCAGACGTGCGGGACGTGGGGTGTGTATTTGAAAAATGGAAAATCATGAATCTACGCTTGTGGTTTAGAAATTCAGACGTTGAGTTCTGGATACTTAACTGGAAACATGAGTTATAAAAGGCTTGCGCGGTGTACGTTGATCAATCAGTTTTCTTTACTCTTGGATACAATAACTCATATGTAGTCACATTTAATTATATTGCAACTCAAGGTGCTCTCATTGTGCTCTTGCTAAGATGTGTGCTTTGAAGTATTTGATACAAACGTACGTTTCTCTGTAGCTTCAATGACAATGGAATTGGCAATAATATAATTAAATATGGTTATTCATTTGTCAAAATACAATTAATTTTTAATTTACAATTACATATTACGGAATTTGAAAATAACATAAACGCAACCATGACATTCGGTCAGTAACATGAGCATGAAATTACGACCTGTTCCTTACACTTAGCTGCGTGTATCATTTTCCCTCTCATTTCGCATATGTAAATTTGAAGGATTGAGCGCGGCCAACAGGAGAAGAGATTAATCATAACAGTTCGCTCATCGAGTGAGCCGGATCCAGGAGGTGGGGCTCACCCGCCCGATTGCCATGAAAGATTTCACATTGTCATCCAATTCCCGACTGCAGCTCGTATGTGCCTCTCTTCCAGCCGGCTCGGAGTTCCTTGCCGCCGCCTCCGAAGTGGGCGGGATGGGACCAGGCGGCGGGAGAGCGGACCAGTGACCGCGCCATGCCGAGAGCGGTAGTTGTGCGCGCAGTGCGCAAGCCGGTGCGGCCCTGCCCGCTCCTCCCCTCACTCCTCGCCCCTTCCAAAACCCCTCCCTCCACAACTTTTCACTAGTCTTCTCAAGCCGGACTTCCCGCGATGGCGCAAAGCTACGACCCATCTAATTTCTGTAAGTAATTGCATAGCTTGCCCACACGGTTGATTAACTCGATCACAGTAATGCGCGCGAGGCGAGATCATCCGCGGCTAGGAGGGGAGGGGGGCGGGGCGCGCCTGTGTGAGGTGCGGGCGAGTGGCCGAGCCCGGATAGTGCAGTGGGATCGCTCGATTGGGACGTGTCCTCCCCCCCGTGCGCCGGTACAGTACCACACGGATAGAAGCGCGCCTCTCCGCAGCCGCCGGTGGCAATGTCTGGAAACGGCGGAACGCGACCCGCGCCGACCCGCGCGCTCCCACCGCGCAACAATCAGATCCGCGCCCGCGCCTGACGGCTCATTACTCCTCGCGGCTCGAAATTCGCCCGCGACGCAAGGCGGCGTGCAGAGAAGGGGTGGCGGCGGCGACGGCAGAGGCAAAGGAGCGGCGACGAAGAAGTCAGCGGCGTTGGGGTGGCGTTAGCGATAGCGGCGACGGTGAGGCGGCGGCATCATCACACGAGGAAAAATAGTCCTCCTCGAAGTTGCAGCAGGCGATTGAATAGAGTGGTCGAGTTGATGCCCAGTTGATTGAAGGAAATCGGAGTTGGAAGAATGCAAAAGGCGACAATTCAATCTGAAAGAAATGTCACAAATGATGCGATCTGAAATGCAGAAGAAATGTAAGACAGAAGGAAGGGTATCTGAACGAAACCGAAGACACTTATTAGATGAGAGTAATTCGTAAAACATGAAAATAAACTGAACTTAACAGATTGCAGAAGAGACGGAAACGCGGACGAAAAGAAAACGTAATCAAATCTGACAACCAGAGCTGACAACAACAATAATAATAATAATAATAATAATAATAATAATAATAATAATAATAATAAAATAATAATAATAATAACAATAATAATAATAAAATATTATAATAATAATAATAATTATTATTATTATTATTATTATTATTATAAAATTATTCTACTCTTAAGCATAAGGTCTGTCATGAATATTTGGATTTCGGAAACGCTTTTATATTTATTTTTCGTTATACTGTACATTTATATTGTTTTCAAGCAATCAGAGGAACTAAAAGCATCTCTTAACGGCTGACATCCATGAAGTATTTTGGCAGTCCGCCATCCGTTCAAGACGATTGAAATAAATTAGTGTTATACTTTAAACAGTAAGTCTCTTCAAGGTGCCGAGCTGGTAAGAGCTAGGGGACACTGTCATCATTGAATGAGAGTGACCCTCTCTTTTCAGCTCGTGACTCTGA